TTAAACTCCATCTGCCACGCCTCAGCCCATTGACCCAATTGATCAAGGCCTCTCTGTAATCTTACATAACCTTCTTCAACGTACACTATACCACCAATTTTGGGTGTCATCCACAAACTTACTAACCATGCCTCCTACATTCACATCTAAATCGTTTATATAAATGACAAACAAAAGTGGACCCAGTATCGATCCCCATGGAACACCACTGGTCACAGACCTCCAGACCAAATAAACAACCCTCCACCACCAACCTCTGTCTCCTACCATCAAACCAATTTTGTATGCAATTGGCAAGTTTACCCTGAATCCCATGTGATCTAACTTTATTAATTAGTCTACCATGCAGAACTTTATCAAAGGCTTTACTAAAATCCAAGTAAACAACGTCAACTGCTCTGCCCTCATCAATCTTTTTGGTTCATTTCTCAAAAAACTCAATCAAGTTTGTGAGACATGATTTCCCTCACACAAAACTGTACTGGTTATCCCTAATCATTCCTTGGCTCTTCAAATGCATGTCAATTTCAGAATCACCTCCAACAACTTTCCCACAACCAATGTCAGACTCACAGGTCTGTGGGGCCCAGGCTTCTCCTTACAGTTTTTCTTAAATAAAGGCAAAACATTAGACATCCTCCAGTCCTCTGGCACTTCGCCCGTGGTTATAGACGATACAAATATTTCTGCAAGGGGCCCCACAATTTCCTCCCTAACTTTCCACAACTTCCTGTGATACACTTGATCAGGTCCTGGAGATTTATCTATCTTTATGTTTTCTAAGACCTCCAGCACTTCTTCTTCTGTATTGTGAACTGTGAACAGGAAATATTCATTTAATATCTCTCCCATCGCCTGAGGTTCAACACAATGATGACCTTGTTGAACTTTAAGACACTCTACTCTCTGTCTCACTGCTCTTTTGCTCTTAACATATTTGTAGAATCTCTTTGGATTATCCTTAATCTTGTGTGCCAAGGCTATCTCATAGTGACGGGGAGCCACGGAGACCTACGTATAGTCTGTTGGGGAACAACGGCCAGAATCAGACAGTTCAGTTGTAGCATAAACAAAGGGGCAGACTCACAGAGTAGAATCTTCACAACCACTGAACCATATGGGCAGTGGAGGGTCAGGTGTGATCAGCAGAAATTAGATTCTCAATGTCAAGAGGAAAATATTTGCATTTCCAACCAAGGGTTGAACAGTGACACAGGAATCTTGCTAGAGAGCAGCAAGAGGCTCATTACCATTATTACCTAATCTTGCCTCATTCATACGTACTTTCCCATTCTCCCACCCACCAGATACAAGCCAAAATCTAGAGTGCGGCAAAGCGTTGGTAGCAGCATATTTTTGGCAGTACAGACTTGATGGGCCAAAGGGCCTCTTCCCTACTGTTTGGTTCTATGGCATGAATTCCCGATGTAAAAGTCAGAACGCCTGGTGTCTCCAGCTCACCTCTAATCCTCTGTCATAGCCAGCAGGCACCAACATTCTGGGGCACCCTGGATGGGTTGTGACTGCCTGCACTACACCCTCAGCCCGTCCACAGACATTGGCATTGGACAAGCACCAGTCTCACCACACTCTCTTGGCACATCTCCCACCGACTTACAGCACACTTAGGAGTGCTCTCCTCTGTCATCTTTCATTGTAATGCTGGACAGGGACAGGCACCCAGCTCACAGGTTGGCTACATCTCTGTGCTCCTCGCTTGCTCTCTTGTCACTCACTCATTTTGCTCCTGCCTTGATGCTCACAGCATCTTTGCCTTACCTTTTTGTACCTTGACCTTCAGCCAGAGGCTCTCCCTACTTCAGTCTTGCCTTGCTGTTTAGCACACACACCAAGCCAGGCAGCTTGTCATGTTTGCCAGCACCAAGCAGTTAAGGGGATAGACATGTTGCTGTATGGCAGTGTGCTACCTCAATGTCACATCTGCAGTATGTGTCAGCAGCATTTGCAGGGAAAACATAGAACATAGAACAGTACAGCACAATACAGGCCCTTCGGCCCACAATGTTATGCCGAACTTTTACCCTAAACCTAAGGTCTATCTAACTTCCACCACTACCTTATACTATCATTCATATGCCTATCTAATAGCTGCTTAAATGCCCCTAATAAGGACAACTTCACTACCCTCTCTGGCAATGCATTCCACGCCCCTACCACTCTCTGAGTAAAGAACCTCCCTCTGATGTCTCCCCTATATCTACCTCCACTCACTTTAAAACTATGCCCCCTCAGAATAGCTACCTCCACCCTAGGAA